ATGTATATATGAGAGCTTACACAAGCCAATTGCAATAATACTTTTACTTAATTTCGCCGCTCAAGGGCGCAACAGCTCATATATTATGGTTCTATCGTGAACACTAATTATCGGATAAATTTGTACAAAGAATAAATTGAAAATCGTGCATTCATTCGCAAATTTATGTAAGTCGAACCAAAAATACTGTCGCACACGTCACAATTTTCAGGTAGCTGTTTGTCAACTGCTTACTCAGTTTCGCGTGTACATATATCATACATGTTCAACTAGAAAGTTTTGCGTGATTGTATCTGCGTCGTTAATCCGCAAATGCCACATGTGTGCTTACGTGCAGCAGGTACATCTAATATTGCCACTTGAAATCAGCGCACGAATGTTTAACAAATGTGCTTCGCGTTGTGAATCTCATTGTCAACCAGATTATGCATAATTATTTTATATGTATCTCTACATAAGTATTTGTACGACATCAGTAACAATTAAAATTTTCCAAAGCATATATGTATCACCTAATCGATGAGGAACATGACAATAAAAAGGAATAGCACAAAAATAAAGTAGACAAAATCATCGGGAAGTAACAGTGAAATGTAAACGAGAGCCAGCGTCAACTGTTTTCCCGGCTTGTGAAAATGCACGTGAAGCAAGCTGTACGTGTACAGCACGCATCGACTTGGACCTATCGTTTTTCAGTAATCAAAATATCTCCGTTGCATAAAAATTTCTATTATAACAGCTTCGTCTTGAAGCGGATCGCATGGCACAACAGTCGAGATTACTTCACCGGCACAAGTTGTAAGCGTTTACCAATCAAAAAGCTCAAAGCTCCCTCGTGACAGTCTCTACTTCATTATGCGGGGAAATTGAGGTCTCTCGCATACACACACATACACGCCGATGTCTGCCGATGATTAATCGTATCTTCGGATTGTTCTTTGGTCGCCTCGAGATACTTTGGTTAATCTACTCACGGTACTTATTTATCACAAAAGCTAACAGCTACCTTCCTTCCTTTACACCTTTTTGCACGAAGTAACAGGTAAGATATCAGGTGCAAAAATAACGGAGTTCACAGGTAAGATGTCAAGTTCTAGCAAAAATAACGGGAGTGAGAAGAGGAGGAGCAGACTATTGTCTAAACATCGTAGGAACTAACAGCACGGTCCTCTCGCAGAAAAACACGACGCGAATGCGAAGCCCTAATTTCTCGTCAGAGCGATAAAATTCGCGACAGATGCACGTGAAAGAATACACGTAAAACATTAAAAATTTACAAAAACCTGCAAAGATCTTACATATGTTCCATCTCTAATGGTCATCTGCGCGACTCGTACACCGTGAAGGTACTGTCCACAAAGCCAGCCGCGAAGGCCACGCGATGCGGATGGAAATTCAGACAGCTCACGGGGCTTATACGTGTACCCATGAATCCCTCGTGGAATTTTATCGTATTGAGGTGTTGGCCTGAGGTATTGTAGACGTTGATGCAGTGATTCGTAGTGCCGCTAAGACGAGAATAAAATTCATTTATTATTTCAAGGAAACTATTGAAAATTATTGTCGAAACAATTGACGTTAATAATTTACAAAGAGTTACAGTGCAGCATGATTCAGAGAGATTTGATACAACAACAGAGTATAGTTTCATTATGCTTACCAAGCAAAAATATGAGCCACTTCGTGTGCCGTCAGCGCTGCGATGCTGGGTGTTACTTGAATCGTGCTCACGGAGGAATTTTTTCGAAGATCGAAGATCTTTATATCACCCGACGAAGAGCCGGTAAACAATTGAGGTGTCGATACCTTCCTCAGGAATGTGCCCAAAACCCAGACGCTGTGTTCCCTCCACGTCATGACTCTCGCTTCCGCGGGAGGTAATCGCCGATCAAACAGCCTGACCGATCCATCGCCGCAGCCCAGTGCCATAATCGAGCCTAGAATTTTCAATTTGACACGATTGTTCACTTGACATATAAGTAACATTTAAATATAACAATCAAACTCTTTGTTTTCAGTCTTGAATATACGTGTATATGATTTTGACGAGACTCAATACTATCGATAAAAATTTGTTCTTAAGATAGCCTAGTCCTTTCCTCGAACAACCAACCTGTGCCGTCAACGTCGATGCAAGTGGTACAACAGTCCGCACCCGTCGGTATATCTTGCTTCTTCAGTTCCGTTTCAGCGTCCCAGAGCCGCACGATGCGTACATCGCCCGTTACCGCTAGAGTGAGTGACTTCTGTTCCCACTTAGTGACCAATCCTGCCGTCGCTGGAAACACGTTACCGGCAATTTGCCACGATAATTGTACGTTTATTTGTTCACTTAATCGGCTATTCAGTCCCGGTGTTCTTCGATACGCACCACTGGAGGTCTTTGTCGCGGGTTGTACGTCAGCCAGAGCTTGCCAAGCTGTGAGTAAAACCGGATCGGGACTAATTGTACCACAGTAATTCTTCCACACTCTCACCGAGCCGTCGTCGGAACCCGCCAGTAACAGAGTCAGGTCGTGAGAGTTGATGAACTCCAGCGCCGTGACGCGCGATTTCCCTTTATTGCCGCGACTCGCGCAGTACGTCAACTTCGTGCCGCTCTGATAATCCCATACTCTGAACAAGTTTTTGACATGTTAGTTGATGACACAGTGAATTGTTTTTCTATCACACATCTGAGATATAACGCTCTTTATGATTAGAAAATTCATATACCCGAAGCAATCCTTCAGCGCTACGGCCAAATGCGACTCGAACGGATGAAAGACCAAAATCTGAGGCGACTGCGGACATCTCGCATGACACATCTGCGACTCCATCTTACTTTGCGGAGCGCGCAATTGTTCCTCCCTCGCGTCATTCCTCTGCTTCTCGTTACGTATAAATCTGACAATAAAAGCATAAAGTCTCTCGTTAAAGCACAATCAAATTTAAGTAGTAGAGACGTTTAGAATATTAATTCAAGATCATAGGACCAGCTTACCGCCATTCTCGCTCGAGATATGGCTTGCTTTCCACATCGTCCATCTCGTTCTCTAAACTAGCGGGCTGAGCAAACTGTGCGCAACTCCATTCGACAAATTGAGAGGTAGTCAATGGTGTCTTGAATCCAGGCACTTCATCTGTCTCTTCAGATATCTGTATTATTACAGATGTTAAATTTAGTGGTGCAGTTAAAAGTTATATTACAGTAATATAACAAAAAACGAAAAATAGATGACAAATTTACATCCAAGTGCGAAAATAAGGAAGAAACAATTGTTACCGTATTAGGAACTGGTTTCCTATTGCGACTACTGTGCGGCAGAGCTCTCGAAGAACGCAACAAATCCGTTCCAGAATTGACAGCAGGCGGTGGCGATTCTCCTTTGCTATTACTAACGTATAGGAAAGATTATCATTGTGACATATAGAATTAAGTAGAAATTATATCTTACAAGAAACATCCACTGACCTTAAATAACTAGTTCGATTCGACGGAGATGGCGGCAGAGACAACGAAGAAGAAATTTTCGCTTCAGTTACCTCCTTTGGCGCCGAGGATGCCTTTACCTAAAATTGTTAACAGTATTATCAATAAAAATCTAATATAGTTGTGCAACTAAATTCTTTCAACGGAATTTTAGATATTACCTTATTACGAACATGATTGGTAACTTTGTGAGACATAGCACCGACCACCGGATGAGGATCGTTGTCGAGATTGCACAATCCATGCCATAATTTCATATACACGCTACCGTAGGAGAGACTCGGTAAATTTCCGAGCGAGCTGTGACCTGCGATTAACAGAGCGCAAAATTAACAAAACGTCACTTAAACGTAAAACATATTTAGAGAAAGAAGGAGCGAGATGCGTCGCTATCATACAAAGCTTGTGCGAGAAAAATACTGAGAGTAATAATCTAACACTAAAACAAAATATGGACTATGTACGAACATGCAATGAAACTTCCAATCATTATTACCAAGTGACTCGCAAGGTTTCCTCACGAACTCCCAATTATTACCTGGCACACGAAAGAATCAATGCAAATAATTGTTATCCAGTACTCGAACACAAGTATAGGGTGGAACAGCATTCGTTCGTCATTGTATAGATGAAGCTAGCATAAAATGAGAAATGAACGCCACACCACCCCATATGATAAGTTTTGACTCTGTTTAAACTGATGCACTGCTTGCTTCTTACCTAGACTGCTAATGGACGACGAGGAAGACACTCTCTTAATGCGATCTTGCCCGAATCCATCAGTCATGTCTATGCTGTAAGTATTATTAGGGGAAAGCATCTTCAATCTATCCTTCGATAGATTGCGCCTCATGCCACTGAACGGAGACAAAGTCTCCACAATGAGCTCCTTCCGGCTGTGCTCCTCAGCCAAGGCTAATGTCACGAAGGAATTTTCGAAATGCAGCACCATCCACTGAAGAGCCACTGCCAACTCCTGCAACAGCAATCGCGTGTGATTCATCGTCAACGGTGCGAGTCTTGGTCGGTTCTAAATCGTGATCTCTACTTACTTTCCTAACTAAGGGAGACATATCGTGAGACACTGTATTGATAAGCGTCATGGCTATAATTTGATCGATATTGTTCGCGTGCTCGCTTCTGGTTGTAACACTGTTTATAAATGTACCCAATGCGTATACACTAGCCGCCCGGACCTATAACAATGATGCAATGTCAATATCACGCGTTAGGATCTATGAATAAATATATAACGCTAACAACAATGCTAAGATAGTGGTGATAATTAATTCGATTAACTGAATATCATCTTGCTACAGGATATATATATTTATGGTCATTAATGACCATGAATGTGTAATTAAGAGTACAGAAGGAAATTTAATATGCAATTAATGCCCTTTGCAGTCCTATGTCGAGTCTACTTTGACATCGCGTTTCGTTTCAGCCGATCCTACAAACCAATTTTTGTTCACATTAATACTACGTTCAATATAAATATATTACTATAAACGTCTTTACATTAGTTAAATTAGTATCGTAGAGAACTACGCGATACTGTCGCAAAATCTTTACAGATCGGCTGGAGAGAATTGAATCGAAGGTGATTCGAAGAGCAGAGTCAATAACAATTCAAGTCGTTTACCTCCGGGACGGGGTCTTTTAGTAACGTAAAGAGCTTCTCGTGAGCAATATCTCTGACGCCGCACCACCTCGCTTTATCGAAATTGTGCCAAAGTCGTGCCAAGCACAAGCAAAGCCACTGCCGTAGCAGTGGGTTCGTGTCTCCCAGTTGCTCCAGACATATCGAGACGAGATTGCCGTGATTCGCGGCCACTTGACCCGGCCGGTAATCGTTCACAATACTGGCCAATACAAATGCGGCTAACGTTCTATGCTCGCTCTGAAATACAAGGGTCAAACGTACTTTCGTTACGACAGATTTTAGCTGCACTGTCTGAACGCAATTGTCGGATTAAATTAAATGTAATGTATGAGTTACCGGAGTAGAGGTATCCTGCAGTACGGACAAGAAATATTTATGGCCACCATCGCGCACGAGATCGGCTTGACAGGTCTGTAATTAAAAAATTGTAAATTAAGATATATTTATAAATTGAAGCGTTGAGCAGATAATAAAGCCTAATCTATAATATGGTCTTTGCTTCCTGTTTCTTGTTCTTTTTTTAATTTAAGACTTGAGGTTTGAGTCAGAAAGAGGAGGAAACAGGAAGCAAAAACACACTGTAGATCAAGCTTTAGATAGAAGTGTACTTACGTTATCTACCGCAAGAATTTTCGCCCAAATAAAAACGAGCAATGGCCGGAGCTCTCTGGCGTTGCTCTGCAGTAATTTCAAGACGTAGGGAAAGATTCCCACGCTAAGCGCTAAATTCACAGCCCACGGGCCAAGATCGAGGAAACGTCCTAATAGCTCCAACGCTCTCAGTCTATGAACTTGACTCAATAACACCTGAAGAACTATCGGAAGCTGTTCGGGCGGATTGCGACTCTGCGATCCGAAAGTAAGCCAGACTTGAAACGCTGTGAGTTGATCCTCGAAGAACGATGAGTGCACGTAACGATCCTCGTTATCCAGAACCGTCGGCAACTGTGCCAAGCACAAATCAAGCGCCATGTCCCAAGCTTGCCACATACGATGCTAGAAAAAATATATATATAATCCATACAAACGATATATGCAGATTTTATTGATATATTTCTTTTTTATTACTCTTCTTAAACTCTCTGCTTTCCTGGATTCAGAACACAATTGCTGAGTAAAGGTTACCTGATATGTCGGTGGCAATTTTGGGCAGGAAACCGGCGTGCAATCGTAAGAGCGAAGTATTCTTTCGGCCAGTAAGAAATTCCTAAAGAGGCTAGCAACTAACAGATCCTGCCTGAATAACCTTTGGAATAGATCTGTAAACGATAATATATTTTACATTACTTCATCGTGTTACTTCATAAATGTGAATTTCTACGATCGGGGACGCCCACCTCTTGGCAGAGTGTTCCACGCTATCGTGTCGGTAATGGCGGTAAATATCCAATTGAGCTCGCCCAACATTGTTCTCCTGTCAGTCAACTGTCCAGGAATTCTGAAACGTTCAATTTAAAGTTCATATGATCATTTCATTGCTACTTCACGAGCAATATGACATTTAAAAAAGAAGAGAGAATCTTACTTGTCAAGAAGATCAAGGGATATGTTGGGAACTAAATTGGCTGTGCTCTGCATCGCAAACCTATGTGAGAGAAAATACAAATGCATTTTCTCATCAATAAATGTAAGGGCTTTTCTTGATTGGCTATCTTTATGCGACAGTTCTTACCAGCGTATTGCGATTTTAATCGGCGTCGTGAGACATGACGTAAATATATCTGCAGGTAAATTTGGATTCATTGGTAAAATTTGATTGGCCGCGCATGCCGCCAATTGAATACAGTTCTTGTAGCACGGTGCTGCAGGACTTGACACACCTGTCGCACGATTTTGCTGTTTCTCCATCTACGAGGAAAGACACCTGTTAGATTAATCCATGCACTTTGTTAACGTAACAGAATTTAATTTAAATTTATTATCTACCTCGTATTCCTTCTCGTGCTGATCTGCAAATTGCTGAAAGGATTCTACAATAATACCCGCGTTAGAACAATCATACACGTATATGCTAGGTGCACCCATCCACGTCTGCAAGTCATAAACCGACAATGGAATGTACTGTGTATATGTCTGTAACAGAATTACGAAGAATTACTATTTTTTATCACTGTCTTGTTTAATTGATGATTAATATGAGCCAAGCCAATTCAATCGGATTAATAATTCAATTAACTAAGTTCAATCGTTAATTGAACAATCTTTTATTTCTTTTGTTCACCTCAATAGCCATTTGAATAACTTTTAATTGAATTCATTGTAGAACAATGACTTTGCTGAAATCAATTATCAGTTGAATTGAAACATATTTATTTAAATCAATCGTTAAATTGAGAAAAATTGGATATTTTTCTAGTCCGTAACAGTTGACAAGTGCACACAATCAAGTATAATACAATCAACTCTTATTCTTATGTTAATCATTTATTTTAATGTACTTTTGTACCAACCCTATTAAACACCCAGATTTCACCATTAGTAGTGGGTTTGGGCACACCATGGCCATTGTAATGGAACAGGACTCTTTCCTCCTTAGCGTTACGTCTTAAGGATGTACACAATTTCTTAACTTCCTCGACAGTTGGATCTAAACTCTGTTTGTAGCGTGCTCTTGGCTGCCACCGTTCATACTGTTTCTGCAGATTCGAGCCTATAGTTTCCAGAGCTTTCTGAGGACTCACTGACAAAGGATCTGAAAGGATATTTACTTTTAAGCTCTACATTATTCCAACTCGCATTTGCTAAAAGGTTTCATTGTTAATGACAGACAGTACAAATTATCCCACAAATGCTTCAATGGACACGATTTTTTTATTCTTTTTACTGATACTGACTACACAGATAAGAATGCCAAAGACCATTTGTAAAATTTCATCAACAGACGCGATCAAAATAACCGAAATAAATCGTGAATCAAAGTCAAATTTAAACGATAGATCGAGGGAATTCGATTTCAACTCGACACCTGGCGGAGGCTCGTGAAAGTCGCGCGTATGAAGAGACCACACGGCTCGTCGTTCGCAGCGTGCAACATGCATAACCTCAAAAACGACAATTACATAACAACACTTGGAGGATCAGAGGGGGTCAGGAGAAGGAAAGGATGTAAATAAAGCTACCTATCCAGCATTCAAGGCGCGCACAGGGCTGTGTCTTGACAATGTCAGGTGGGTCGACGCCGACGTTCAAACACAGCACCAGAGCCACGCTCACAGTCTTCATCTAGAAAAAAAAGGACACGTGCATGGTCAAGTATTGATTCGTTGGCGTACATACGTCGACGAGAAAGAAGTCTCTTTCTCTCCTTTTCTTCCTATCTCGTCGACTCGTGCACGTGAGTAATGTCGTGAATTTTGCCATATAGTGTCGCGCAACATTTCCCCGGCCACGTTACTCGTATGTCGCTGATACACGGCGTTTGTACACATATCAGCTTCACCGTCGTCTGTCTCGTCTCGTCTGGACACGCCTACCCTCTTTTAGGTCGTTCATGCACATACCCGCTCCTTCATCCGCCAGGTTTGACTGATGTAATTCACGCCTTCAATCGTGCCATTGTGACGAGGCTTGCAGAACGCCAGCTGCATCTGCCAGTCCTTCTCCGAGCCAGCCCGCCTGGACGTATTGCTCGTTGTCGTCGTGCTCATGATCGTCGTCGTGCTCATGATCGTCGTCGTTGTTATTGTTGTCGCTGTTGGTGAAGACGCTTCGTAACACGCCTTCATCCTGGCATAACTCACTGACATCCTCGTAATATCGCGATTGCAGGCACTGGGTGTGAGAGGACGCGTATTCGCGATCGCGTTGATCAATTAGCCTCGTGCCAGATCACACTGCTCGGTGTAATTGTGCACGCACCAACGGATATTCACCACGCGGTCGCGACGTAAAAGCGTCCTTCACAAGGCGCGACTCGTCGAATTTGTCACACACGCCGCCATATTGAGATGGCCGTACACGCATAATCGATGTATCGATTCTGTTTCTCGATGTGCGATCCCGCCTATCGATCATATTGTCGATACTTTTGAAATCGATTCATTGCCATTGATTCATCTCGCTGTACGATCGCGCGCGTTATGACGAAATAGAGAAAGTTCTCCCGATCTCCTTTGTTGAGTCACATCAAAGTAAATGTCCCAATCACTGAACTAATAAGGCATGATCAGTTTTTATATTAATCAATAGAATTACTGGTCAACTAACGTTCATAAAAAAACTCTTTTATTGATCGAAAAATAAAAGAAAATAAGTAATAAATATCAATTATAATTTTAATAAGATGTTAAGATAAATGTGCCAATAACTGAATATTATCCTAATGATTGAAATATTAATAACATATTTGTATTTAATATTTCTAAAAAAAAACTGAAATATCATTGAGACATTTACTTTAGATAATGTCGTTAAGCCATATCAGTAATTGAACTGGAAAACAAATCATGTCCTAATTACCAAATAATATAGAATCAATGATTGAATGTTTATCACATAATATTATAAATTAGCATAACTTTTAATAAAATTTCTCTTTTTTAGAAACATTAGATACAGTTATTAATGTTTTCCAACATTCAATCATTAGGACATGTTCAAACAGACATTAATCTTATTTGGAAATAAATAAAAAATATCTGTCTGACCTGACAGCTGACCTGAGTGCTACGTTCAAATAATGATAAAGATTATGGCTAATTAAAACCAATCACTTTAATCAAAGTATCATTATAGCGTTACAATAATCTTAACAAAATGTTTACATGCCGTGTCTGTGGACAAAACAGATCCTGTGCGTCGGTATCGTAACAACAACAATCGTCCGAATGATGGAAGATACATTGTCTCGAACAAAAATTGTATCGAAACTTAGAAAGTAGAACAATATCCCGAATATATATAATATCGAAATCTGAATATACCGAAACAATCTCTCAAAAAGCATCTCCCGTCTCGAAAAATTGTATTTCGAGAAACTCTCTTGAGTATACAAATTTCGATATTATGATTTTTAGAGACATTGTCGCAGTTTTTGAATTTCGAGATTTCGATTTTTCGGGACAATGCGTGTCCTTCCGAGTGACGATAATGCGGGAAACGACACCTAACGTAATATCTATGACACTTTTGTTCTTTTTCGTTAAGTATTTGGCAGATAAATGTTTTTGCGCCACGATATTGTGATAATTATATTTTCTTTTTGCTCGAGTTAGACTATTTCTCTAGCCTAGAGCGTCTTGTACAAGCGTTCGTAGTAATATATCTGCCTAAGTGACTTGACTCGAAATCTTTTAAAAGAGACCTACTTATCAATGAATTATAAATATATAACACATAATTTATAAAATAATTTCTCAATTTGGTCGTGCTGTAATCCCGCTTCTCAATAACGCATCTTTACTCAGCGATTTCCGCGTGTGATGTCGGATTTGTGTGTGTATGTGTGTGTGTATGGTATGTGAGCGATCAAAGGTTCTGGCTAAATAGTCTGTAGTTTACAAGCGTAAATTAAAGGAGTTTATTTGGAATTTTTTACAGCATAACGGAATTATTTCGATTGGAATCGATTCTGAAGAGATCTATAGTACATGAAACAAACACAAAACAAACAAGATTCTTATTTTATATAAGTATGGCTATCGTCTGAATTAGGATTACTGGTCTAAACTAAAATTTGACAAAATGACGGAATAGAAAAGTAAATCGTAACCTTGCAGTTTGTTTTTCTATTTTGCTATTTCGTCAGATTTTTTGGTTTAGATCAGTAATCCTAGTTCAGACGACAGTCACATTTATATAAAATAAGAATTTTGTTTAATTTTTTGTTTCAGATCACTATAGGCAGTTATTATATTATGTACACCAGCAGAACACGAGAGCGTGTTGCACTGCACTCTATAACTCAACTAATACGTGAGTTTCAATTATGAAGAAAATTATGTAACTTTCTCAAAGTATAACAAAAACATACTGAAAAGTTGAAAAATGTCTTACAATTTTTGTATAAAAAAATTCCAAAGAAACTCCTTAAATTCATGCCTATAAACTAACCAGATCCTTTAAGAGAGAGAGAGAGAGAAAAAGATATGAAGAGAAAGTGATTAATTGGTGTCTTTATAAAATTATCGGTGATTCTATGGAATATGACGTACAAGCTTTTATTCTGAATTTTCTTTATCAATAAAAGTGCCTCTAAATGCGACTGAAGGCCAATCAGAAGGTTTACAAAAGCTATATTTAGAGACACTGTTATCTGTAAAAGAGAAATCAGAATAGAGGATATAAAATAATTTGCTAATGAATTAAGAGTTTCCTCTAAAAGTATTAATCTCTTTCACTCCTATGATGTGCTGTAAGTTGATATAATATCAATTCCATCTTAAATTCTATGTAAGTATAAAGAAGGTAGATCAATAGTAACTAACGATTTAAAGCAAATATATACGATAAATCATAAAAAGGCTCATAAATCGATAACTTTCATTTGGGACCTTAAAAAAATATCAAATTCTTTCATGTATTATGTAAGAGCGACTCTACCACTATTGCACGCTACATATATTCACAGCCTATATATACATCTTCGTAATTTCTGCCACGCCTATGTACAATGTTAATCTAACAATTCGAAAATTTTTGGGAAAGATCGCGCAGTGATTTGTCTGTTTTTTCCCTTTTTTTCCTTTTTATGACACGTCGATCCTCAAGTGAAGTTATTTAATATCTATTTAATTGCAGCAACAAGAGACTTGACAAACCTCTTTGCCACCAATATGGAATATTGGTACCAACAATATACCAACGTGGAATTCGCTAATGGGTGTACCTGTTTGACACATTGCGTATCTCTGTAATGCATCTCTTCACAGACACTCTTGTAAGTTTAGTGTCGCTTCTCGTCTTCTGAAAGTCGCTCCTTGTTTATGCGTCACTGATGCGTTTGTGGATTGTTCAATGGCTTATAATCCTGCAATACATATTTTATTTAACTAATTGCTCAAGAAACAATGTTAATCATTGAAAATTTTTGTTACGGCTTAATCACTCCTCTAATTCGATCCGTCTAAATTTTGAGTAAACAATAGAAAGAATGCGTGAGATCAAAAAGCATGAGAAAACGAAACAAACAAAGAAAGAAATAGATCATACTGCATTTTTAGAATAACAGAAAAATTACACAGCGAGAGAGACCGCACAAATCGCATGGTCAATATTTTTTCAGTGATTCATGCTGCCGTAATACGGGCGTACACTTGTCCCTTTGCCTCCAGGTCTTACAGTGTTATTGAGCGAGTCACGCAAACGTTCCGCAAACGTTTTATATTCCATCTCTGGATTACTTTGCCCAAAGTCGAAATCCGCGACTTCCACCGTGAACCTTGCTCTGCTTTGAATGTAGTACGCCACACCAAACACTATCAGCACTACGGCCACGAGAGTGCAAGAGACCGGCACTACGATGACTGATAGCTGTGGCTTCGTCGTGACTACAAGAATATTTAATCATGAACGTTATCGTCGTCACTACATCACGATAAACTGAGACACGAGAGTGCTCAGTGGAAATCATTTCCACTGATTTACCTTTGTAAATGTTTATCGTTAATGGATAAATCTGGGTGCTAACTTCGTTGTTCAATACGATTAATATCGTGTAGATACTGGGCTCCAGAAAATAATGAACGATGGGAAAATTGCAGGTGTGCAAGTGTTCTATGTTGTCGCACGTCTCATTGCCCGTCACGTTGTATTTCCCACGATGAAACTGAAGACACTTGTGGAAAGGACCCGATCCTTTACAGGTCACATTCAAATTCAACATATCCCACGGTTGAATCCAATTTGTACCGTCTACCGAGATGTTCGATATGGGAGCTAAAAACATTTGTATAGATATTCAACAAAAGTCCACAAATTTAATGAATATCGAATTGTGGAATAAAAAGATTAAATTACAAAAAAGAATTCTTCCTTAAGATATTAATGACACATTTTACTAACCACGGACATTTATTTTCTTCTGGAAAAATCCGTATGTGTTGTTGGGATCCGGTGGAATGAGCGACATGTTCGAACATATATAAGGCAGAGACATATTTGCGGCGTCAATCGCGCTTGCATTGGTCGGAGACGCAGTCGTAGATTTCGCCGTTGTAGATTTTACAGTTGTGACAGTTGGCGATGCGGTTGTTGTTACAGTTACGACAGTTCTATTTGGATTAGTCGTAGTGGTGTTCGGCGCGATTGTCGTCACGTTAACGGGCACAGCCGTAGTGGTGGTGGTAGGTGGCGAGATAGTCGTGGTTGTTGGAGGTATATATGACACGACTGTTAAAGCTCCTATTTCATGCACCGTGTCAGGTTTTGTGAAATTATATGCAAAAGTGAAATCATTCGTTAGGCCGTAATACTTGCAATCGATGAACCAATACGTCGATATAGATGTTGCTTTTTTCATTATGAAATCGTAATCTCCTTTACGCATGTCTATCATCAATTTCGTCTCATTCACAGAAGAAACATATTCTCCTGCTATGGATTTATTGCCTTGCTCCATGGTTATGTTACCATTAAGGCATTCTGCAATTAAAACAAACAGGAAAGATGAAATATGTGATATTTCAGAATTCACATGAGACTCCATTGATAAAACTTACCAGTGATTTTAAATTCAATGCGAGCACTTGTGTCTTGTGACCAGACATATGGAAACAAACGATATTCAACTAATATCTCCATAATGTATCTGCCAGGAGTATTATCTTGTCTTGAGTAACTTAAACTCCAAAATGTTGTAGTGTTCGATGTTGCCTCAGTCTGGAATAGTAACAATATGTAAGGTTTATTGTAATTTATGACAACATAAGTAAGCTTTAATATAAAATATTCATCACCCATGATGATGATAATAAATATTTACAATTCCACAGAGGAAGAGAGTTAACAAAATTAAATTGAATGTCATTCAATATTGTTCCAAAGTATAGCAATATCTTATATAAAAGTCTAAATGTAACAATTTGGTATCTAAAAGTATTGCGAACTTTGTCACTATTAAATAGCATATTGTGATAATTCAAACCTGATACTCATGCTTTGCTAACGAATTATCTCGCCATTTGTATTTGAAAGTGCCTGGCGGTCTCTGGCCATCGTCTCCATATAGATCAGCTCTGAAAGTGATTGTACCACCTAGCACAACTGGTCCATCATGTGACAGTTTGACATAGTCGGCGGTGACTGCAAAACGATCAACAAACGTATGTAGATGACGCAGAAATGACGAGTAAACAGTGATACGGAAATACAGAGAATAACAAGAATGTGACTAATGTGACAATGATAACGCAACGTGACACACGAGGAAATGTGTTGCGAATAGTATGGTGAATTCCTTTAATGGTTACCTTGTAAGAAACACCAAACACTCCAAACGAGATAACAATAGAAACGCACTGTCTGCATACTGTACATTATCGGGACGTCACATTCGCGCTTGCTTTCAGATCGCTTTGACGTCCATCAGGCGCAGGCAACAATCCTTGACAGCTCCTCACTGAATCGCCATTCTGCAGTTTATGCTTATCAACAATAGCGATTCAATGTTGCCAACCGAAACTACGAAAATTGACAATGTCACTCTTCTCACTTTCTGTTACCTTTGACTGCGATATTATCTAATGTGGATAATTTAGATATTTACATTTTCGTCTGTACAGTGGCGTGCGGTACGTGAGAAAGACAGTTATGTCTGTTATGTGACATCTATTGAAAGTAAATTTGAAGTACTTTTGAGTCTTTCTTTTCTTTTCCATCTTTTTTTAATTTATAACGGATTACAATTATTGATAATTGATTACGATGTTTGGAAAGGTTTTCATGGAACTTTTATCAATTACTCAACGTTGCAGACACACGATGAAAGTCAGTCTCGCCAATATGGTTAAGCGCGAATATGGAAAGTCATTCTCTTTGTGCAATAAAGTCAAAGACATATTACCTGTACACGAAGAATTGCAGGAAATTTTCAAATTCAGGGACACAAAAATCAGTAACTGGATCATAGAGGTTTTTATCGCACATTATATTCTAAATTTTATAACGTAAAGCGCAAATAATTCCTTTCATAAAGAGCTATATCAAGGAATGTTGCAGAACAAAGTGCGTGCGTTATGCGTTAAATATGCCGAAAGCAACAAGGAAGATCGTAAACAGATCTTACGTACGTTGGCTGCCCAATATGCTGTCCAACATGATAATATATGTCAAGTAGCCAGGAAGTTAGTTTGCACCAAGGTATACTATTTCATGTGAGTCAATATGTGTCATCTTGATTAAATTATATAATCAGGATTGAGAATATATACTTTTTTTTAGTATATATTTGTCTGCTGTATTAATTTGTTGGGAAATTATGTATTTACATGTATCACAAATATATGTCCCTTAGAAAGTATATTACATAGAAAAATCTTGACATTCTAATTTTATTACAGCCTGAAAATGAAAGGCAGATGATTAATCATGAAAGAGCTTTGAAGGATATGCTTACACCAGCCTATCATTGGTTGTTTGTTGTTATGGGAAGGCTAGAGAATGGCGTGAAGTTCTTGGTTGATCTGAGAACTGATGTTTTGGTAAAAAAAAATTAAAGATGGAAACATTTATTTACAGATATGCAATTATCTTTTGCAAAATCAAACTGGATTTTTGTCTTTAGAGATTTTTCTTTGTTAGGAACTGATGGCTGAAGTAAAAGATGCTGATGAAAGTATAATAATACAGCAATTAAATCACACACTGCGAAATTTGTTTTTGCTTTGGTTTTCAGTGGGTTTTTTGCACATAGAACGAATAACATGGGAGAGCACGTGTGATACACTGCAAAAGGTTAATGACTATTTTAATATCTATCTTATATATACATGAAGTAATTTCCTAGCTTCTACATGCTTGATATAACTATTTAATAATTTATTATTTGAAAATTTATAGATATCAGATTATGAAGCTGTACATCCTATAAAAAATTGGTTAGATTTAAAACGTAGAGTGGGACCATATAGAAGATGTTACATATTTACACATCCTTCCATGCCAAAGGAACCTATTGTTGTTTTGCACACAGCATTATGTGACATTATTCCAGGTTTAACAAAGCGATAATTACGTTTGATTTATTTAGTGAGAGTCAATAGTTATTAATTCTTTTTATAAATTTTGCAGATAGTGTGAAGAGTATCGAAGAAGCTGAAACTAGAATTCTGGGAAGTACAAAAAAACATGTAACTTTTCTTGAAGAAGACAAAACTAAAATAAAAGCTGCAATATTCTATTCTATATCGTCGACTCAAAAAGGATTGCAGGTAGTTAGGTTATGATAAAAATTTTATTTGATTTACTTGATAATAAGTCTTAGATGTTGCAACTTATATTAGTAACTATATAAAGTCCAACAATATTTATGTACAGGGTATTGAACTCGGTAATTACCTTATAAAAGAAGTAGTCAAGGAAATTACAACTGAATTTCCAGCTGTACAGCTATTGTCTAGTTTATCACCGATACCTAACTTTAAAGCTTGGTTACTTGAAAAACTAAAGCAAGGTAATTGCTAATTATTAAAAAAAATAATTAAATTTATCTATATGTGTTTTGTATGTATATAAACGTATTTTTCCTACATAGACATGAAATATATATTCACTATGCAAGAATATGAAACCATGAGAGATATTTTAAAAACTGAAGATGTATCAGTCCTAAAAAAGATTCTAGGAACTTCATTATGGACAAGCGATGGAAAATTGTCAGAATTTTTAAAGGAGCCACTACTTCGAGCATGTGCCTGGTATTTATACAAAGAAAAAAGACGTGGCTATGCTTTAAATAATGTCGGTACGTTCTATGCTTTTTCTTCTTCTACACAATCAATTATGAAATATAATTTAAATATAAATACACACCTGTACACATGACACATTAATACTATAAAAATAAATAATTTCCCAAAATACACTTTCTTGTAGCAAACTTTCATTTACGTAATGGAGCTGTGATGTGGAGAATAAACTGGTTGGCTGACCCTTCACCACGCGGAGTAGCTAATAGTTGTGGCATAATGGTCAACTATAGGTACACATTTGAAAACTAATTCTAACTGAAACAGAAATATTAAAAACATTGTATATATTATTATTTTCCATAGGTACTTTTTAGATGAATGTGAGAAGAACAGCAGGAATTACATCGAACATTTTGTTATAAATGCTTCGGACAGTGTAATTAATCTGGCCGCGCAGGCGGAAAAATTAAGACTTGTACGAAGTATGCTATAAAAGATTATTGCTGAAGCAAATCTGAATAGAAAAGAAGAAGAATATAAATATCTTAAGTATAAATAAAAGATTATTATGATAAAATTATGATGGAGAATTGACACACCAAAGGATGAAGGGTGTCTAATTCATTGATAAGAAAATTTGCTTTATTACTCTTCAAATTTTATGTTTTTATTAAAGATTATTAAATTTGTTCATTTATACAATAGCTGATTTGTTTCCAGCTTAAAGACAGCACAATGGTCTGCAGACAAGTCTAAAACAAATAATATAATTTTAATTATAATTTAAAAATTATACATTTCTTTATAATACGTAATAGAGAAGCACAAAAGCGCATCGAGATAACGTCGGGAGTATTGAATTGTACGTGCAATTATATTTTTTTCTCGATTTGTTTTTCTCTAACAATTGTATATAAACGTTACAAATTTTTATTCAAGAGAGGAGAGGGAAAAAATAAAGTCTCATACACACCTGTAGTCAAGGCTGAGTTTGGTGTAAGTTCGTGGGAAGATGAGGTCTACTTTCTAGTTTCGTGTAATCCAAATAGAATTCCTTAGCTACCTTTCTCCAGTTTTGCGCATCGAAGTAATAATAAGTACCACGTTCGTATGTCGACGTCTTTTCTACAATCCCCATACCTGGTGCCTGCGTTATCCAAACTTTTTCTTCCATATGATATCGCCATTCTCTGCTATACCTTTGTAAACATAAAATTCACACGGTGTGAGTATCATCACGTATATACGCTGACATTAATGGATCCGACAATTGATTTCGATTGATTACTTACAATTCCGCCGCTGCCGCTAATTGCAATACATCCCCAACATTTGTATAAAACATATAAAACAGTAGATCGTCTTTATATCGATTTAGTTTAACTGGCGCTAGCTTATCTCTAAAACACAGATGGAAGAGACTTAATACTTTTAATCCCACTTTTTGCGACGTAACGTAGAGATAGCAACAAAACATACACACGAGAGATAAGGTGCATCGAGATACACAGAATTAAAAATGAGGATACCTGATTGCGGCATTTATAAGATACTCCGGTGGTACGTGAAAGTCAATATCCTGTGGTCGACAGGGTGTATCCGCCCAAGGACCACCGAAATTTTGATAGAGAGTTTCCGGCGCATTCATATTCAATCCTAACGCAGTAAGATCTTGGCCTAACGCCAGTGTCACCAAGTTCGGGTCTGTCTCCGCTGCTCTGATAAACGTTAAAAGCCCGACCATGCCGAATTGATCCTTCACCATACTTGCAGGTATGTTCGTCACCTTGCCTGCATGTGATAAATTGAGCGTGTCTAAAATAAACGTCGCCATATACGGTATATAATATGATCGTTGATGTGTATACCAGACTTCGGCATGCATCGCACATATCAACCGATTTTCGATTTACTCCGCCTAGTGTTATTCCCTTTACCTCATTGCCTCGCGCGCAACCTACGAGCCGTTCGAAACTCAGGAACACATGTTTACTAATCACATGTTCCTGAGTCTCGAGCGGCTTGTAGGTTGCGCGCGGGTTGACGAAGGTAAGGGGAATAACGCTGGGCGGAGAAAGTCGAAAATCGGCCGCGAAGTGCAACGTGTACTGTGCTCTGGTGTATACAATAATACAACATTTTAGTTTACCCTCAGGCAATGTTTGAATGCCTCTCTTAGAAGATAGAGACTTTTCCGACCCAGATGCTCTGTTCGCCTGTAATACGTCCTGCCCGATCTCCGGACCCAGTCCTACAGGTATATTCTTATCACCAGATACGCTACCACCGGGTGACGGACCTTCTCTATTCTGCGTGCCCGGTAACGCAGGAAAGTCTTCCGAACTCATAGTAAATTCGCTCGGCTCTGATGTCGGTTGTTTCACCATTCCAACTGTAACAAGCGCGAAGAATTACAACAATGAAGTAATCTGCTTATACTCACTGAAAGCAACTGGAAGATACCTACTATTACGATACGGATAATCTTCTGTTTATGATATAGAAAGAAAACATGTCTTACATCTAAAATCTACCATAGAATTATTATATACTAACCGTATGGTTGTTTCCCTGGCATGGGACTAGGTTGTGGCATAGAATCACCTTGACCTCTATTTGTTAAGGAAGGAAACTCCGAGAGATCTAATAGAGGTGGAGTACTCGTGTCTCCGCCGCCTCCACTCCCAAAAACAGAGTGGAAATTGTTGACCGCACCTTGAGATCCGTAATTACGACTTGGAGGTATTCCAAAACTGCCCATATTACCCATTGGATTTGAAGCTCTGCAACACAAAATCGCTGGAGATAGTTTACGACGTTCGTGGAGGGCCTTATTTACAATAGTGGAGAAAAACTTAAAGTTCTACACTCTCGAAATTGTTTGGAGTGAAATTTCACTCGAAAAGTAGAGCAACTCGAATTTTTTAGTTCCACTTTTCACTCATGCAGAAAGAATTCTCTACTCAGAATCTATCGAGTGGATATTTTCACTCCAATTGAAGAGTGAATCTTATGTTATTTTACTGTCACAAAGGAATATACTCTGATCAACTGAGACATTGCTCTTATATAGTTGTCATGAAACACTCAGACTTTTATTCAGAGTTTTATCCAAGTTTTTAGTTAAATTATATATGATATTTTATACTTGTAATTCAACTGAAAAATTCTCACCTAAGTTCAAATCTGGATATTTCACTAGAGACAAAATTCAAATAATAACTATTAATGCAATTAGAATCAGAATCCATTCTAAACTTAAGCAAAGCATTCACTCTTGCGACTTTGAGTGACAGTATTTTCATTATCGTCTCGAATGAAGATACCGCCACTTTTCGTTCGCTTTAAGTGAGATTCTATTCCAAAAAATCCAAGAAATAGTCATCGCTTAAAACTTGTCCTACACAAAATACTCAGATCTAAATTTAGGGTTTTTTATTTGAGTTATATATATGACATTATATTTTTGTAACAACGATTCAGCTGAAAAATTTACCCTACTCTATATTAAAATCAATGTTTCATCCGAGGCAAGTTTCAAGTAACGATTATTAAGTCGATTTTAGAGAATAGATTTCATCAATTTCAATGGATAATTTACCCAAGAGCTGGCATAGTACGTCTGTCGGTAAAAGCTCTCTGCCCAAACAGTCCTCTACTGCCCATAGGAGAGAGTTGCTGTTGCTGCGACTGATGACTATTCTGCCCACTTCCGGAGCTGGACGCACAGGGATAAACGTTAGTAACGACTACCGCCGAGTTTGCCGTACTCGAAGTGCTTGCAGACGAGCCTGAGAACATGCCCGAAGTGGGCGTGACATGACCCGCAAGGGCCGACGTGTTCAAACCCCCCCCACTGCTTGTGCGTGAAGAAAGACTGGCGTTCGCAATACTGCGTGGCGGCTGTTCAAAGTTCAGGTTGGCCATAGCCCGATGGCACCACTAATGTAAAACTGCCTGCCCAGAGGAGGCTCACACTGGATATACTTTTTATTCAGCAGCAAATCAGCACATTTACTTCTCTTCCAGTACGACACTCACAAACTCTTTGATCTCATGTGATCGCTGACAACCCATGACAAATAACTTGTGACCTGGAATGAAGAGGATCATGTATTTTCTCATCGATATATAGACTTCTGTTGAAACTGTTATTGTTTACCTCTTAATCGTAGCCTCTCAGTAGCAGTTACATCAAGACGTGGTACAGAGACAGAAACCTGATGAGAGAAACAATTCATTAAAACTTTGTTATATCTTGGTTGTTTGACTATTTGCTCTACTTAATCAAGTCAAGCATATATTCTCTGTTCTAAATTTCCTATACAATATTTAAAAATAAAGAACATGCATCTGGTCACTGAATTACGAATTTTATCTGCATCAATTGTATTGTTTATAGAATAGGTGTAATTATAGCAGTTATACACACATTGTTTATAAAGATATTAGAATACTTATTCAGCACACAATGTCCTTATATGCCCTTATATAAATAAGTATGCATTTCAATACATGCAATATTAGAAAAACCAAAGCAAAAAGTTCGTTTTAACCTGAAGACGCTTGAAATATTCGATGCATTTGATGACGCTAAATCTAGCCTTTCCTTTCATGGAATCTCGCGAAAATGTGACGAGATCCATATGTGCGATATCGGGCGCGCGTATGGTCCCGCCAACAACAATTCTACCTTGTGAAAAATACATACGACAATCGCGCACGGTATATCCCGGACATTTCTCTGATAAACTGTAAGAAATCGCCGCAAGGACTGGTCGCGAATTGTGACGGCTCGCTCGCACGCCCGTACACGCACAATGATATCGATACTGGATGTCGGGACGGATACTGGAATTGAGTCGACGAGCACAAAGGAACGGGGGAGGTTATAGTGCGCGCACAGGAGACGTCAAAATATTGAGGGAAAAGCGCGGCGCGGTAGCCGCGCAACACTACCTGCGACGTGCGCACCAGCTGCGTATCACGACGACGCGACGATGTCGAATCCCATCATCGTGCCCGCGATAAACAAAGTGGACGGATGTTTAAACCCAAAAAAAAGAAAGAAAAAAAGAAAAAGCACACACACGCGAGAGAACGTTCGTTGATGCGTTAACTCTCGTCGAGGAACTCTCTTCGCGACGACGATCTCCGTTTTTCGTGAGGAGGTCTTTGCACGATCGGCGATTCCGTCCTGGCTGCGAGAAATCGAGTCCTCCTCTCTGTCTGGAACGCGCGTCGTCGTGAGATTCGCACGTGTACACGGCGACACGAGGCGATCAGGATCTCATACACATCACAGTGCGTGCCCTTCGGTACACAGGACCCACTGTTTTGTCACTCGGTCAGTCAGTTTCACGAACTTAAACAACACTAGAGACACGAGCGTCTGCCATATTAACAATATCTTAAACAACGTATTCAAGCGAGTGTCCCGAGATGCGCGTCGGCCGAGATGGCGACCGTCGAACCCACACAAAGACCGTGCACGATAATTCCTCGGCGATATTCCCGTCACGAGTGTGTTTTTCGCGTTACCGAAGTATCAGAGGCTACATCGTCGTCACGGCGAAAGTATAACGGTGTTGAGCTTGACTCATGATCGAGCGATTCTCTCGTCGAATCGTCCTAGGGTATATATTCTTTTTCGAGTTAATGAGCGATAGTCAGCGAATCGAGTCGCGAATGGTCGATCGAGAAATCAAGCGCGATTATAATTCCTTTGTGTACCTATCGATAGTAACGATAGTTCCGATCTGATTGGCCCAGCGAGACCATAGGCCGCCATATTGCGTGTCATTGGGCGCATTCAGCAATGAGCGTTCAGTGAGTTTTTGGATCTGATTGGTGCGTGCTTTCGGATTTGTTCGTGAGCCAAAAGCGCGAACCAATCAGATCCGGGAGCGCGCTGAGCGCCCGGTCGTAATGCTGGACGCACCTTTTGTTTTCAAGTCGACGCGTATCGTTCAGCGTGTATTCACCGAATGATCTATAGAAGGACAATTGCCAAGGCTTTGTGATAGCGTTTTATAAACATTTTACACTCGGCTAAGATATAAGTTACTTGTACTTCGCCAGAATTCTGTTTGCGCGGCAATCGGTAGGTGAGATTGGATGAAATATCGTTGTGCGCCAAGCTAAACACGCTCAAGAGAAAAGGCAAGCATATTCGGCCGAAAAATGGCATTCACTAGGAGAGCCTCTCACGCTGGTAGTTGGTACGCGGACAATGGTAAGCGATGCTCGAACAAAAGAAAAGAAAAAAAAGCATTTTATTTATACTCCGTATCGTCGCTCGCGCGTGTTTGCAAATTATTGTTTGTCGATCATTTTCATTGCGTTAACGTCACCTGTCTCAATAACATTTGTCAATAAAATATGGAGCGCAGAAAGATGAAATTTTTGCTTCCAAGTCAATTGTAATTTTACTTATATACTCACTTATTATTTAATTTAATGTTTCTACTTGCATCATTTGCGTTATATATTACAAGATTTCAAGATATGAATCGAAAGTGTCTCGCTCGCAGTATTGCAAAGTGGCATAATGTCGTTTCAGTAAAGTTCAAGAATAGTTTTTGCGTATTGTATATATGTTTTTCTAAAAACAAATTTCTGTCATGTCTATATGCGATGTCAAAGTCACACTACTACTCGCTGTAGGTTCAGAATTGCGTAAGCAATTAGAGGATTGGCTGAGCGTAGCAGACTTATCCCATGGACCTGCGAGAGCAATCATTGCCCCGTCAGTAATCACTTATATAATATAGTCACGCAATGCATCGATACACAGACACACATATATATAGAAATATTTTGTAAAAATATAATTTTGCAGGCATGCAGGGTACAGTTATTGCGGGGAATGTGCTGGTTTTGCTTACCGGCAGATTAGTCCCGTAGTTGTGTAAGTGTTGGATTATGTCTGAATTACATTAATCTAGCACTAAGTTCATTCAAATTTTACATTTTATTTGAAATTTAGAAAAATATATGATAAAAAGGTAGTTTAAGATTGTTTCTGCATTATTATTTTTTGTTACCAGATATTTTTGTAGTAAAATCTTATGATTGGAATGGAGAATATTTAAAGTTTTTTAGATTGCTTTTTTTGGGAATGCATACAAGAACATAGTAAAGAAATTACTAGGTATTAAATTAGTTAAAATTAAATATATTTTGTCTTTTTAATATAAATTTCTATAAAGTGTAATTGTACCGTACAATATATATAGTTTAGTTTGTAATTTTTGAAATTTCTCAGTCAAATGAAACGTGCAACGTGCTGTTATGCAGCCGTAGGATATTTATTCTAGGCCCCTCGCATCATGTGAGATTAACAAGTTGTGCCCTTTCTTCGGTTTCCGTTTACCAAACGCCACTATATGATCTACGTATTGATCAAAAAGGTATATATATACACACACCTAGATATCATCTTTGAATCAACATTGTTTATCTTTTATATAACACTCGCAACAGTCATAAAAGTTATTAAATTATATATACGCGATCACTTTTATAAATAAAGTGCAATACTCAATCTTGCAATACCAATTTGGTGTATACTTTGCACTTATGTAAAGGGAGAAGTATACGTAATGAAAGATGGCGTGGTATTGTAAGGATGATAAAAACACTTTTTAATGTGTGCATGTTTAACAGTGAGAAAAGAACTCGAGGAGACCGGTCACTTTGATTGGATGGATGTGAACACGGATGAGGAAGAGCACAGCATCGAAATGCAGTTGCCATTTATCGCCAAAGTTATGGAAGAGTACGTTTAGAGATAAATTAATCCTCAATTATAATTATAAGAGCTGAAGATCGTGTCGCGATGAGAAGTAACGGGAAGCGATACCTACATCGTGCTTCTGTCCATTACTAAACGACAAAGATAGAGAATGAGTATCTTATTCATGTGGCACCTGTTTCACATGTGCAGATTTAAGGACTCATTTACTATAATCCCAATTTTGGTGGGTTCCTTGAGCCCGGAGAAAGAAGCACTTTATGGGAGATTATTAGCGCCCTATATGGCCGATCCGCAAACATTATTTGTCATCTCTTCGGACTTCTGCCATTGGGGACAACGTTTCCGTTATATTTACTACGATAGATCGTGTGGACCCATTCACAGATCTATTCAGAATCTCGATAAAATGGTATATATACAATCCAGTCTCTTTGTTATACACATAACTTACGAGTACCGTGAAAGAGAAATCTATAAGAACTATTCCACGCACATAACGAATCTTATCACGATAACAAATGTCTGCAGGGTATGAACATTATAGAGACTTTGAATCCTGCGATGTTCACCGATTATCTTAAAAAGTATGGTAATACTATATGCGGTCGGCATCCGATTGGCATTTTGCTGCAGGTAATATAAAAAGTTAACGGTCTACGTACGAGTTTCTTTTTAGAGTCCGATTTAAGTTTCTTGATTAACGTGTGACATTCTATATATTTACAGCTAATTAATTGTCTCAAGGGACGTACAAACGGCCACAGGATGAATCTAAAGTTCTTGAAATATGCTCAAAGTAGTCAATGTAACAATATGAATGACAGTTCTGTCAGTTACGCTAGTGCTTCCCTGGTTGTCGAGTGATAAAGACATACAAAAATTGAGTACGCTTATACATTGACATCTGAATATAAACACTTTATCGAAGTGGAATGGCGTTCAACGAAGCATGGCAGTAACACTCTATCGATTATTAAAGCGGATTAAGCGGGATATCAAGATTTTTTGTAAGATGCGGAAAGAAGAATGGCACTGAATTATAACTGCTGTAACTTCTCTAACGTTATATTATTTACGTTATGTAGCAATTTACACAACGGGTGTCGGGGTAAGCGTTACTTTTTTGTGTTACATGTAACAAATTGGAAAATGTACCGTTACCGAAACTTTTTTGTATAAATGCATTTCGGTTTATTACTTACAAGAGATATTCAGTACTTCCAGATTTCGATATGGGAAGGAGCTTAAATATTTCTTTGCTTTGGTTAATGGTACATCTGTGTAGGTTAGTGCAAAGTGTATGTCACGCGCACCCGGAGAGCAGAGTTCAAACTATTGGCAGAGAAGAGAATATTGTTATCGCTTATATAAAAACAAGACTAATTAGGACTAATTGCATATACATGTAAATAAATTTTGTTACTATTAAATTTTAGCTTGAATTTTGTTACTTTTATACTAATTCACATTAGCATAATTAATACAGTTAAATGTTATTAAGTTGATTATATAGATTAATTTAGACTGTGATTATACAAAATGTTACAAATGTTATAAAAGATGGCATTCAATATTAAACTGCAATGTACTGAATAATATTTAAATATTTTGTTACATTTTGAAAATGTAATTTAGAGTAGAACTCTAAATGTGAATGCACATGCTTTTCTTGAATTGAAGTTTAATATATCGCAAGTGGAGCTTGCGTATTTTATTTTATTACTTCATTGCAATTTCTTAAATTACATCGAATGCATTAATGGGCCAATAAACGTTTTTAAAGTTTCTTCTGTGCCTTTAGTATGAATCTGCATCGAATTATATCGTGATTGATACATCAATACGAGAGTTAGGACTTAAAATATATATTTATATTCTTTTTTTCTTTTCATACAAAGCAATGGAATGATCTCATATCCTTCCTATCCTATAATCTATTGTTACCTAAGCATAGGAAACTAAACCGAATAATTCGAATATTGTATTATTATATAGTGTAAGTCTGAAAAATGGGGTCAGTATATATATATATATATATACATACATACATATATATATATATATATATATATATATATATATATATATGTATGTATATATGATTGAAATGTATACAATGAGTCTACAAATTTTTAAGAACGTGTTTATTTTTTCTGTACACTACTTAAAAACACTCTTCTCTGCATACCTCAAACATCTATTATTTCTTGAGATCTGGTAAAAATGAAGTTCTTACTAAGAACAAAAAAATACGAATGATGGTAAAAAATGAATGGTGTGCAACAAGCAGTTTGCATTTACAGTGAAATAATCCGTGATTTTCATTTCCCAAAAAGAAAGAAACGGAAAAGATCGTATGGAATTGTACACTGATCCTGCACATATTGCTTTTTCTATCTTTATATATTCCGAGATAATAAGGTTTATATTTATATGAAAAGAATCGTAGAATAATCCATACCTACATTGTTTCATAATACATAGACGTGTAATAAAATTACATCACGTAAAAATATACAAGTCTCTGTACATCTCCCGATAAACATCCTGTAACAATACATTCGTACGCAATTATAGCAAATCTCTCACTGCTTTGATTCCTCCGATATCCACTAATAACTTTACGTTGTTACTTTGCTAATATTTTTCCAATAATAAAGTTCGCACTCTTCGCATCGTTCCTTACATTATTGTCGATAGAAAGATTTGCAATAATTGAACACAATATCACCTATTCGTTCAGTCTTGTGCTGGTGTTCTGAACTGAAGACGTTATGTTTAAAAAAATATTATATTGCTGATCCAATCCCATGTAACAATCGGAAATCAAGTAGAACGTCAGCTTCATCAATCCTGAAAAAATTTCGTTTCGTGTTTTATTTTAGCGATACGCACATACACACAAACTACGAATTATATGTGTGAAGTTTAATAATCTTACCTAAACCGTCAGGCACATGAAATTGCAATTGGTGATATCTCTGTTGATCATTTACACCGGATACCCTCTTCAACGCCAACAACTCTTTATTGGGAACGTCACCTAATATCAGGAACCAACCTTCATCCTTTCCTTTTAGGAACATCGGAGAGTGCGCTTTCAAAGTCTTGGAGCGATTGTTTCTTTTTAGTCCAACAATCAATGTACAGTATTCGTTTTTTTGAACATCAATGGGATCGTCATCTTCAGACTTAAATATAATTTTCCTTCTCAAAATCTCGTCGTGAATTGTACTTTCCAGCGTTAGATTAACGGATATTATCGGCATTTCTCTAATTACTCGATGTATTTCACGTATCTGATTTTCCGTGTATTCCTCACATAAAGCTGTACGAAGCATATCGTAATCCTCACGTGTCATGAAACATAATACTGGAAACGCCAATGAAGACGACGAGAACAAATGCAAATCTGTTGCCTTTACATACGGTAACGACGTAATTGCGGGTTCGTCTATCCAGCGTGCCTGTACGATCATTTGAAACAGGTGCATTATCCTGAGCGTGCTTGTTAGCCATCCACGCTCCGCGACCGTGTCAACCATCGCCTGCACTATCCTGATCGCTTGATCGAGCACCGACTTCAAATCGGTGGTGTAATCGGTACATGGTAATGGCAGTCTCGAGAAATGCGATTGCAGTAAGAGAAATGCTTTCGTGTGCGGCGAATCGTAAGTGTACTGGTCTACGGGATAACGACAGAGCTTCGCCAGTTCTTCATTCAACAGTTCCTCATTATGTCTCACCGGCAGTTCGTTGTACTCGTGCGAGTTGCAGAGTATACGTAGGCATTGATCCAGCGTCAACTTGTTGTTCAGCGATTGCATGAACATCGACATCGTGTGGTGTGATAAATAATAGAACGATGCTATTTTCCCCATCGGAAGTGAGAACAGGGTTTGATCCTCCGTATTGTAATCAATGCAATACGAATCCATCAGTGACTTCAGGGTCTTCTCCACCAGTTTCGAAAGGTATTCGTTGATATACTGAGGTTCCAGAACGTCTAAGTCGTAATATTTGGGATTTTTCATTAATCTTCGGAAGTAATACGTCCACGTCAGGTAATCTAGAAACTCCTGTTTGTTTTTTATAGTGCCGGCGACGATCTCTGCGTTGATGTGATCGGGCAACACGTCCATCAGGCTGGACTCCACGGGGAATGGCTCGTACAAGAACTTCTTGTAAAAGCTTTTCTTTATGTCATGCACGAGGACGACCGCCACGCCGGAGTTGTCGTACTGCGGTCTGCCGGCACGACCCATCATCTGGAGCACATCGGTGATCGGCATGTCCACGTAACGCTTCAGTTTGCCGTCGTAATATTCCGTGCCCTTAATCACCACCAGATGAGCGGGAAAGTTCACACCCCAAGCCAAAGTAGCCGTAGTAATTAATACCTGTATAAGTTTACAAAGAAAGAATTTAGGTTAACGTTTTTTGTTAAAATTATATTGCTTAGGTATAAGGTAGATGTCTTAGTAATTGAACGCTTTCAATTTTTTTTTATTGAAATATATATATATATATATATATATAATATTTCTAAAAAAATCCTTGAGATTTTGTTAAAAGATATTCCTTTATGCCAATTTGTAATATTACTTGATGATCATTAATTTCATCTGATTGTATATCTGAGAACCTTTGTATATTTATTGTCAATACCTGTATTTTGTTATTGACGAACAATTCCTCCACAGTCTTTCTGTCTCGGTCCTGAAGGCCCGCATGATGAAGACCGATGCCGAAGGCGAGCGTGAGCTTCAGATTGGTGTCCTTCACATTGTCCAAAATGCCGGCCATTTCTTCTTCTGGCATGTGTAACCATTGCTTGGGATTATCCTCAGCCGCGAGATAAGCTATCAGATCCAGTGCGGTTAAACGCGTCTGTCGTCGAGAAGACACGAAGACAAGAGAGGGACTGGACGGTGCGTGATGTCTGATCGCTTGGAAAGTCGGTCTGTTCATAGTCGCCATACGGGGACAGTAATGCTTGCCCGGGAATCCGCTGATGTGCACTTCCAACGGCACAGGCCTGACGGAAGGACGGAAATTATAGAGCCCCATGTCCTTGATATCGAGCCAGTTGGCCAGGTCCACTGCATTTGCCAGCGCGGTCGACAAACCGACGATCCTGACTTTGTCGAGCGTGTGCGACGATATAAAATTCGTGCGGGAGATTATGACCTCCAGCACCGGTCCGCGATCTTCGCCCAGCAGATGAATCTCGTCGATCACTATGAGCGCCACTTGCCGCACATAGCTCCTTGTCTGCCAACTTCTGCTGATACCGTCCCATTTCTCGGGTGTAGTGACGATTACGTGCGCGTTGACTATCATCCTTATGTCGGGCGACACGTCGCCTGTCAGCTCCACCACTCTCTTACCTAGACGTTCCTCCAGTCGTACTTTCCAATCGTTTATACGTTCCCGCACCAGAGCCTTTAGTGGTGCTATATAGATGACTTTTTTGTTGGGATACCGCTTGAAGACCCGAAACATCGCGATCTCCGCGGCGATCGTCTTCCCCGAACCGGTCGGTGCGCCGAGGAGCACGTTGTTATCTGTATGATAGAGGCAGTGGAAAATCTGAGTCTGTATGGGATTGAAATGGGTAAATGTGTAAAGTTCCTCATATAACGGCTCTCTAAGAGCGCTCGTCGGCAACGGTTGCAGCTCCAGTAAGTCCGTGTGAGGTGGATGAGTTTCCGGCAGAATGAGGTCGTGGAAACTTACTGGAAACACGTCGTCGCAGTCAAGCCAATGTTCACTTGATACCTTGATCAAATACTGAGCTGGTAACGGCTCGGACAAGGGTATGGTGATTACGAGCTCCTGCTCGTTCTTCTGAAGAACTGTCTTCCTCGTCACGAGGAAGTACTCATAATGATAGATGAAGTTACTGTCCGGGTCCTCAATCCATATCCAGAAGGCTTGTGAATTCTTCCCATGCACATGGTCGTTCCAGTTGAACTCCGGGATCAGCGTCAACCGCATTCGCAACACGGTGCGCGTGATAGGTTGCAGGGTGAACACCACATCCATCTTCGGCAACTGGCTGCAGCACTTCTTCACCAATAGCGCCATTCGTTGATCTCGTAGAAAGATGCCGATCTCCTGCGTGGACATTTCTTTCAATCGGTGAATTGGCAGCTCTCGTTGCTCTATCTTGTAGATGATCTCCATAGACAGGCAGCTGAATTGTCGCAGCGGCGTCATGAAGTCCCATTGCTGTGTCTCGAACATCTTTGCCATCGACAACAGTCGACCAGCCATTATCGCGTTGTTCTTGCGCAACATAATCTCGAATAGCGCCCGAACTATCCTCATCGCGTTCTGTGTAACATACGCTTGATCGGATATCAGCGACGATGCGTTCACGCGGCCTCTTGACAAATACGTTTGCAGCAATATGTTCACTTTGCCGTGAACGTTCTCCACACCGCCTTTTGGCATGACCTTGCAGTCGTCCATCAATTGATCGAGCTCTTCTACCTCGTCGTCGCGCACTTTGAGTTGCTCGAACTCCTGGGCGTGCGATATCATCGCCAGGATCTCCGCCTCATTCATCACGTGTTTCTGCTGCTCGTTGAAAATCTCTACTGTGTCATATTTGAGGTAAAAGTGGCTCGCGATACGTCCCAAGTCGGTGGCATTCAAATCACCGGTGCGCTCATCGTACCTGATCATCTGCGCCTTGTCCAACGATTTAGCTGCATGATCCACAAGTTCCTTTCGCTTCTTCTCAAGATTCGGATCTTCCACGAGAGTTTGGTACACCATACCGTATACCTGATAGTTCAGCTTCATTCGTACAAACAGGTACGTGTAACTGAGCCACTCGACCGCCTCTTCCACGTTCGATATCGTACCCAACGCTACCTCAGCGTTCAGATTGTCGGCCAAGTACTTAATGAAACTGCTCTCGATCGGTATTTGATTCGTCAGCAACGACAAGTAATGTGATAGTTTGTTGTGCGTCGTGATGATAACCGCGTGGCCGGACGTATCGAATTGCGGTCTACCGGCGCGGCCAAAGATCTGCAGCACGTCCAATATACCCAGGTCCACGAACGAACCGTGCTTCGCGTCATAAATTTCGGTGCCACGTATAATGACCGCGTGTGCGGGCAGATTGACGCCCCAGGCTAATGTGGAGGTGCAGACCAGCACCTTGATCAGACCGTCGGCGAAATACTTCTCCACTAGATTGCGGTCGGTGCGCGTCAAGCCAGCATGGTGCACGGAAAAGCCGCTGTTGAACAGCTCGCCGAGATGCTTGTTGCGTGAGGACGCGAATGCCTTGTTCACATACTTTGTCTGATTGTCCGACAAGAAGTACTTGAGCAAATCGTTTTTCAAGGCTAACTCCTTCAGCGCCTGGGCCGTTCTCACGGTGGCGTTCCGCGCGTGCACAAACACCATGACCTGATGACCTTTTCGCACCATGTCAATGACATGATTGTAGCACACGAAATCCATATCGTTAATTTGTTGTAGCGGCTTGATGGCTTTGACACCAATGAACGTCTGGCTTAACGGTACCGGTCGGAAGCGGTGGTCGAAATAGAAAAGTCCCTTGCTCGGATTCACGCGCAGGAATCGCGCTACGTCCACGTAATTCGGCAGTGTCGCGGACAACCCGACGATCCGGATCATGCTCTGTGAGGATTCTACTTGTCGCAAAGTCCGCGCGACTAACGCCTCCACCACGGGCCCTCTGTCGCCATGCAGCAGATGCACCTCGTCGATGATCAACAGTCGCACGATACTAGTGAGAGAGACATCGCCCGTTCCTTTTCTCGTGACAACGTCCCATTTCTCCGGTGTGGTCACTATCATCTGAGTCTGCTGAATCTCTTGCTTTGTCAGCTGCATGTCACCGGTTAATTCGCGAACGCTGACGCCTAAGGCGCTGAGTCTCTTATTGAAGTTGGCGGTCATCTCCGCCGCCAGTGCTTTCATAGGCGCGATATAAATGATCTTGAATTGGTTCGTTTGCAGTTGTCCGTCTTGAATGTTCTGTTTCAACTGATGCACTATGGCTAACATCGCTACATTCGTCTTGCCCGCACCGGTTGGTGCGCATATCAGTAAATTTTCATTGGTTTCGTACGCCGCCTTAAAGACTATACTTTGTATTTGATTTAACGACTTCATGCCGTTGAAAGCAGTTTGGCCGATTTTGTCTAGAGAAGATATTGATACGATATCTACATTCACGTTAATAGGTTCTTTTTCTGGTATTGGTATGTGCACTTCCTCAAAAATGTCAGTGTTTACCCTCTTAACGTTTTCAGCCAACATTAATTTCTGTCCTGACACGATACTTGCATGCTTATTTGCTTTGGAGTCGAAAACAAACGGGTAAGATTGTGGACTTCTTTCCACAATCTTCTTAGGAAATAATGGGGTTAGCCTAGCTGCAATTGCCTCTTGCTTTATAAATTGCAGTTCTGTCGAGTCGAATTCGTTTTTCTCAATTTCCCCTTTAACATCTCGTTTGTTCGACATTTTATTCAATTTCTTTTCCTCCTTACGTACTTGCTTGTTTAGTTTCTTTTCTACCTCAGACTGTACAGTTACCTGACCACTGATTATAGGCCCCTGTGCAGTTTTCTGTGGCCTTGAAACCACTTTTGAACATGGATACGATGATACAATAGCTTGTTGATGTTCGATAATATATTCTATAAATTCCAAATGATCGCAACCAAGCATATCGAATAATTCAGTTTGTAAGGCTACTTCCTCAAAATTCCTCAACTTTTGCATTATTGTCGTATTAAACTGCGAAAATGACATTCCGTTACCACATGTCTTGAAGCAATTTTTTAATCTTTCCATAAATTTTTCTTTTTCGAACTGTAAAATGAGAAAATTATAGAATGGGAATTGATTTTTTGTTTGTTATGCTCATATACATATCTAATGTATACTCACTACAGATTTCTTTTGCGATAAAGATTCTGTTCCATGTAGTTTCATTGTAAATTTATCAGTGCTTAAATTTATTCCTTCCCTAGACATGCTATGAAGTTTAGTAGTATCAGGCCATACAGCTCTTGCTGGATTGTAAGGAATATCCGCGCCAAAAACATGCAAACCAGCAGCTTCTGCATCTTCATTCTCTTTGGTTTCGGATAATAATTCCATAACCTCATCATAATGTTCTACCCGAATTTCCGTAATAATCTATATAAAATAATTAAATGAAATTTAAAGATATATATATTTAGTTTAATTGTAAATTATATAGATTAGATTATATCATATCATTATATCATACCTCCATTATTTTACATGCATAATCATGATCTAAATATCCTGCCTTTCGAACAAGCATCTCATATTTTTTTCGAGTTAATTTTTCATCTTCAATTAATAAACGTAATGCATAAATTGTAAATTCATTTATAGCATCTGCCACAGCATCCTCTGAAAGAAAGATGACTATATTGAAATGTTCAGTATAGAAAAAATTTGATATTAAATTGAATGATGCAATATAAGACCATAAAGAATGATAATTATAAAATCAAAATGGCATTATCTTATCCATCTAAAGAACTTAATTCAAAAACTTATATTTGTACAGTAAACAATATGAGAAATTCATATATATATATAAAATTTCTACTTACTTAAAACTTGCTCTGCAATCTTTTTTAGCACTGATAACTTTATCGTAAGACCTTTAGATGTACTATTGCATATTTTAGACCAATCAAAACTACTATAAAATATAAAAGATGATAAATATTTTACAAATACAGATTATAAGATTATAAAAATATGAGAACTGCTATATCTTGTAATGATATTTTTTACCAAATATTGCATAATTAAATATATGAATAAGAGTAAACTTTATTCAACTTTTCATGTATTTTTATTTAATAATTTACCTTTCTATTCTTTCTGCTCGTTCTTGCCTTTTCTTTATTAAATCATTTGGTTGAAGATCAAAGTTTCTACGTTCTAGGCAAGTAGACATCCGTAAAGACTTAGTTATACGTTGTAACTTCGACATGATGTGTTCTCTGTTAATCAGATTTTATATATATAATATAAAAGACAAATGTGTATATGTTGACACATTACATATGCTACTTTACATTTAGCTTGTATTATCCTCAATATTTCATATGTTGAGACTTTGTGGGAAGATCACAGATAATATCTAGTTAAAATTATTTTACGCGTACGATAAATTTTATATTGTTACGCGTTACTTTTTTTAGGTAAATTCGACATAGAGCAAGTGACGGTCACAGATTTCATAGGTTATGAAGAACAATACTCGAGTTTAAGCAACAAATTGTATCGCAGATGTTAATCTGAATGAATTAATAGAGTTATTGTGGAATTGTACAATTTGTGAAAATTTCGCAAAAATTAACCGTGTTGCACAATATATCGTAACATTGCGGACTGAGACGTTTTACAAGGACACGTTTTTCACGTATAAACTTTAATCAAGAATTTAGAAGTACGAATCTCTCACAGGTATTCCCCTAACGACCCTGTTATTCCCCGTTGATTCAATCTACTGTTTATTGATAACGACAAAAAGCCTCCATCAATTTCATTAAATAATAGTATTGCGATCGATATACGTACTGGAAAAAGTTTGATAACAGATGGCAGTAACAATTGAATAATAGTAGTCGAAAACCGAATATAACAATTTGCAAAGATCAATTTATCGTAATGCACATTCGATAATATCGTGACATCACTCCGGTTGACTGCATTTTTGCCGACTGTCAGTTTCTTATCAGTTCAAATGTTTCAAATCCGCCATATTTGTTTTTTCTGTGACATGAGGTTTGTGGTCTGTTCTTTTCGGCTGTACTAGTACAATAAAGCCAGCGGGCGCGGCTTGTTCTCATGGGCTGCGTTCAAAAATTCTACTCGACGGGTAGAGTACATTTAACTGACCAATCATGATAAAGAAGTCCTAGTTATCTTTGTTCTTATTGGTCAATTAAATGCTACTCTACTTGTCGAGTAGAGTTTTGGAACGTAATGCATGCTAGCTTGCTTGCTGGATGGAAATATTCTATTCTGATTGATGCATTTCTGAAGATGGATGGAAATGCACCAATTAAAATAGAGTATTTCTTTTTCTTATGATCTTATGCACTTTTATACTTATAGGGCTGCGTTCGGAAACGTCACTCGAGTACTCTCCCTCTCTTTTTATCTCACTCTTGTATTTCGCTCACTTCAACGGCTATCGTCTAATAGTGTGCACACAGTGTGTGTTTCCGAACGCAATCTAGGACTGCGTTCCAAAATTCTACTCGGTGGATAGAGTACATTTAATTGACCAATTATGATAAAGAAATTCTAGTTATCTTTGTTCTTATTGATCAATGGAATGCTATTCTACCCGTCGAATAGAGTTTTTGAACGCAACTTAGCATGTTCGACTGGCTCTTGGTTAACCTACTCTCGGTTATTCAGCCTACGTTTATTGGTCGAACAAGTACTTATAAGCTTTATGATTGGCTAGTAGAGACTTATGACGTCAATAATCGCTCTCGGAGCGACTGACCCAGGGCCAGTCAAACACGCTATTATGGCTCCTGCACATAGGACGTGGTAATGTTTGTCGCATGGCGGAAGTTCGCGCGACAGCCAATCAATATGCCGCTTTCCGTAATAACCTTCTAGCTCTTATGGAAAAACAATATATTGATTGACTGTCGCGCGGACTTCCGCCGCGCGGTAAGCATTACCGCGTTCTGTGTGCAGGAGCCATTAATGTCTGTGCACGCCTGATTACGACAATCAATCAGAAAGTAATCAATGGGCGCGTTCAGCGGAAAAAGCGCTCAGTAAGCAATCAGCGATTATTGGTTCTTATTGTTAGATTCCTAAATCTAAACCAATTACATTGACGAATTACTCAACTGTTGTGCAACTGTTGAGTTCGCTGAACGCACCCAATGAATAAAACATTCTGATTGGTCGACTCTTGCGTTACCGCGCCACGCTTATACAATTGTAGAATGGCCTTTATGTTTATCAACGACGCCATGTTTTGTTCAGACTAGTAACCTGTCTGGATTCTGGTAACTTTACTCGGTGTCTATCTATCCCATCGAGGGAGCTTTCTTCGTTGTCGTTCCACTCCGTATCGAAGCACGAGGAATGTCTTTTGATGTCTTCGTCGAAGTGTTTTCACGAAACGACGACTCGGTGGTGACTCGCGCGGGTTGCCTGCTAATCGCATCGGTCGCCGCGAGCTTTCGGGCAGGCACCGCGAATGAACGCTCCGTGTAACGTGTAATGAGATCGTCGACGTTGCAGCCGCAACCGCAGCCGTCATCGACGTCGTACGGTCGCGCGAGGTTACCACAGCGTCGCAAATGACACAGACTTGGCTGGACCGCCGAATCCTACCAGCGCTCGGGCTGGGGAGTCGTCTCCGTCGCGCAGAGAAAATGTGCTGGAAGAACATCGAGCAGGAGGCGTTTTGTTGATCCACGGCGACTTCGCGTAGAACGCGAACGCGACGAACGCACGCACGCACGCACGCACATACGCGAGCAAGCACGTACGCACCGGTGCGCACGCACGGCACGTCCTGGTACATCCGGAAGAGCATCCCTCTCCCCCACGTTCGCTCTTCTGGACGAGAATTTGATGAAGCGACCGAGGCGAGGTATTGTCGTCTCGCGGCAGTTTTTCTTGTCTAAGACTACAACCACCACTACTATTATTACTATTATTATTGCTGCTGTTATTATCGAGGCCCGGGGTCGACCGAGAAATCGCCTTAACAATAAGGTATACAGTCGGATTGACTCTCCCTCTATCTCTCTGCTTTGTCGCGTGCGTCCTCTCTCCCCTCTCGTACGAGCGATTTCGCGCGTGACTCATCCCTACTCTCTCGTCGTTCGAACTTGGTCGCTTCTCAACGAGAGCAATACTGTTTTGACAGCTTGGTCGCGCGATGATGTGAGATCCTTCCATGTGAGACCTTCAATCGTCGGTGAAATGTCACCGATAAGAGATCTGTGAACGCGCGTCGCATACAATCTATCGTGGTTCGAATCACGCGTGACGATCCTGCAGCTTTCTCTCTCTCTCTCTCTCCCCCCCCTCCCTCTCTCTCTCTCTCTCTCTCTCTCTCTCTCTCTCTCTCTCTCTCTCTCTCTCTCTCTCTCCAGCAAATGGCTTATATTATTTTATTTGATATGACTTTTTTTTACATCAATTTGATATAAGTTGTATATCAATTTTTTATATGAATTTGTGTACCTTTGAATATAGAGTGCACTTGAAATTGGATTATCTATAGATAGAGTAAAGAAAACTCTAAAAAGGAGAATGGAGGAATGTGGTATAACCTACACAAATACCGAAGAACTTATACAAGATGTTCTACATGATCAAGCTATGGAAGATTATAATAATAGGTATACACAGAT